TTATAAATAAAATGATACGAACTTCAATTCTTGCTCTTTGTTATAAAAATTATTTCGTAATGTTTTTGTCAAAAATTCTGTATGTTACTTAGTTGTAATTTCGGAAATGAAATCTTTATTATAACTAGAACTTGTACACAAAATACGTAATAAAGTGCATTCTTACAAGTTTTCTCTGGGTACACCAACACTATTTTTAACTATAAATTTAAATAAAAATAATAATGGACCCCATACAAGTCTTATGGAAATTAATTCTATGTCAAATGACATGTAGAACAAACTATGTCATGTAGTGCAGAACATTTTAATCAAAAATTCTCATTGAAAAGATCGAAAGTTCTCAGTTCAAAAATTGATAATTTCCGAGATACGAAGCCTCAAACCATAAATAATAATTCTCAATTCTCTAATAACAAAGGAAATTGAAGGGGAAAAATGTTGATTATGAATTTTAAAATAATGCCATTCAGCATACCTTCAAACTTTCATATTCTCGCTTTTATTTATTTAGAAACACAAATGAAATTATTACACGTTTATTCGACTTTCTTAAATAGCTGTGGGGAAAAAATGCATAGCAAGGAAGCCATTTCACAATTTGCCTGAAAGAAATCTAATCCCATTCTTTGCATTTGTCAATCACTCGTCTTGGTGCTCTTATTTCCGAATACATTCAAGCCAGTTTCGTCAGAAATAGCGAGATACAATTAGCTTACAATAATAGGTTTTTGTATAATCCATTAAGGAAATTTGCGAACACAGAATTGTTCAAACTGTGAACAAGTTGAAACAGTTTTTAGTTTAAATCGTGCCGAGAGCAAAATTCCAGCACAGAAAATATTCAGCACCTGTTTATCTAACACATACGCTTATATAATATATAATACACATATGTTTATATAACACACAATTTCTTTACGTTTCTCTGACACATACGTGGCCGCCCTAAATTATTGTTGCGGCACACTGTGGGCCAGAAGACCATGATCTTTGGCCAAAAGTCAGAAATTACATTTTCAACTAAAATTTGTGTAGGCAGTTTTAATATAGCCCAAATTAAGTATTCATAATCATTCCAAACATTATAATTAAATTTTTGAGCCGACGAGAGTACAATGTAATGAAAAATATGTTAAGAAAATGTTTTTTGAATGTAACTTTTAAATTTTTATTTCAGAAATATATATGGGAATTTCACCTTACTGTTACATTTTCATCAGAGTAATTAGTCTAAAATTATAGTACAATTTTTCAATTTGTTGAATTAGTTAATACTCTTGACAAACTTATAGTTTATATCTTATCATTTTACGTTTTACAATGTTTGAATGACTTTCGAAACTTAGTTCCAAAAAGTTCCACGAAGTAATTAGCTAAACTTTTTTTTGTTGTCTTCTTCGATGTTTCTTCGTTCGAAAAAACCTGCCCCATTTTGCCCGTATTGCAAAGGTGGACTAAATATACCGGAAAACAAAAATTATGTTGTTGTTTTTTTTCATGTTTTCGCGTTATTTTGTAATATTACTTCGGAAATATAATTTGCTTTTCATTTTTAATGTAAAATTACGAAAATTATTATATTTCCATTGCTATATTTAATTATTTAAACGCACTATATTATTTTATTTATTTATTTAATTTTTTTTCTTCTTTGCTCGCCATATTTCAGCCGCCATTTTGCTTTTTGGGGTATTTTTAGTGTATTTCGAAATTTTAAATATTAATTCAATTTACCAGCACATAAAAACACCCCAAATTTTGAAACAAATTTTTATCGAAATACTAATTTTGGCCACGAAACCTTGGATGCTGGCCCACTGTGCGGCCCTCGGCTTGCAAAAGGTTGAGGACCTCTTGATCAATATGCTTATTTGTGAATTTTAAATTACACCAATTATACTTAATTTCTAAACTATCACCATAAATTTTTTTAGCACCACTTTATGGATTGCCAGATAGTTTATATATATGGTTAAATTGATTAGGTATAATAGTGAGCAAGGGCATTTTAAATCAAATTTATTAAACATTGAATAAAATATCAAAGCATAAAATTTTGCTAATACTTAAAATATAGTAAAATAAAATCTTCCTTGAGGGAATAGGAAAATTTGACAACTATGTTATTTATAACTTATAGTTTTATCATTAGGAAATTTTTTTAGAGTCTCTTTATGTCCCTTTAATATGTAAGAATAATTGTAGGAGCTAATTTATAATTTGGTCAAAATAGGAATTTCATTCGTTAATTATTTTAATAATTTTTGAACTAACTAGAATTTTTAAAAAACAGTTCATAAACGAAAAAGGCCCTTTCGGCTTGTTAATTTTTAACTTTTTTGTTTTGTTTTAACTATTTTATTTATTGTTGTATAATATTTTTACTACAAAATTAATCAGTTAATAATTACTGAAATAATCGAATCGAATTATCGAATGTTAATTTTTTTTATATCGTATTCCCCGTACATTTTTCTACACACTATCATAATTTTATATTTTCAATTTAAGTTTCACAGTTTTTGCAAATCAAAACAAAATTTAACATTTTTCTACTCACTATCATAATTTTAAGTTTCATAGTTTTTGCAAATCGATACAAAATTTAACATCAAACATTTAATGAAACTCCAACGATTTTTCATTAAAAAGAGATTATAGTTTAAATTTTATTTCCATGTACATTATTACATTGTTCCTTATAAATGAAATAATAAGGACTTCAGCTACAAATGTTTTTTTGTACTTCAGAACTAAAGGATGTCGAATAAACGAGAGCTTCAATAAACTGAACAAAAGAAAAAGAAATTACAGTCATGTTTCAGAGCATTTAATAAGCGCTTAATTAGCCATCTTCTCGACTGAGTTCTACAATTGTTATTTCTTTTGTTCTTCATATGAGAGGTTCATTTTTCAATGAATCATTTACCAGACTTTTCAGAAAAAAGCCCAATTATTTAGAGAAAAGATTGAAACTATTTTTATGAACTGAAACTATGCTGTTTTTGTTAAGGAAAGAGACGATCATAAATTGTATATTTACGCGGAGAAATAAATTAACAATATACGATTGCAAGGTTCATACTTTTGTTTCAAATTTATTCTACTATGTATAAACACGTTTAACTTTATTCTATTACATATGTTACAGCTAAAGCTCGAAAGTTGTTAATATGCATAGAACCTAGCTAAATAGTAAATTAACTACGGAAATTCATTAAAGTGCGATGTGTATAAACGCATTTAAATTTATTCTATTATATATGTTAACTCTAAAGCTCGAAAGTTGTTAATCCTCACATATCCTAGATAATCTGCAAATTAACTACTGCGATCCATTAAAGTGCGGTTTTTAAATTTATTTAATTACATATGTTACAGCTAAAGCTCTAAAGTTGTTAATATGCGCAGAACCTAACTAAATAGTAAATTTACTACAGAGATCCATTAAAGTGCGATGCGTATAAACGCATTTAAATTTATTCTATTATATATGTTAATTCTAAAGCTCGAAAGTTGTTAATCCTCACATATCCTAGATAATCTGCAAATTAGCAACTGTGATTCATTCAAGTGCAGTATGTATAAACGCATTTAAATTTATTCTATTACGTATGTTAGCGCTAAAACTCGAAAGTTGTTAATCCTCACATATCCTAGATAATCTGCAAATTAACTACTGCGATCCATTAAAGTGCGATACTTAAATTTATTTAATTACATATGTTACAGCTAAAGCTCGAAAGTTGTTAATATGCACAGAACCTAGCTAAATAGTAAATTTACTACGGAGATCCATTAAAGTGCGATGTGTATAAACGCATTTAAATTTAATCTATTATATATGTTACCTCTAAAGCTCGAAAGTTGTTAATCTTCACATATCCTAGATAATCTGCAAATTAGCAACTGTGATTCATTCAAGTGCAGTATGTATAACGCATTTAAATTTATTCTATTACATATGTTACCGCTAAAGCTGGAAAGTTGTTAATTCACACATAACCTAGATAATCTGCAAATTAACTACCGTCATCCATTAAAGTGCGGTATGTATAAATGCATTTAAAGTTATTCTATTACATATGTTACCACTAAAGCTCAAAAGTTGTTTATGTGCACATTACCTATCTAATCTTCAAATTTACTATGGTGATCCATTAAAGTATGGAATCAAGAGTTTTTCGAAATGTGCACATCAACAGTTTGTTTCTTTTATTCCATCAACTGATTTGTTGATTTTCTGACTTAAATCTTTAGATACCGAAAAATAAACCAATGACATTAGGTTAATTGTATGACATCAACTTAATTGTAATAATATTTTAAAACGTTTGATTCTTTGTTTTTATTTTTTGAAGTGATTGATGATTGATTCTATCAACTAACTTGTTGATTGTCTGATTATAGTAACTTGATTTTTTTTAAATGGTAAAAAATTAATAACCCTTCATCCCTAATATAAATATTTATTGATATTATATGTATAAACAGTTTTCAAATATGAAGTCCTCCCTTTAAGAGGGCAACACGGTCAAGTTTTCGAAATTGCTTTATATGAAAGATATTTTCATTCAATAAATTATCGACACACTAAAGAGCTATATCGAAAACAAAATGCGTGATTTACAAAAAAAAATTTCCTAATCACTTCTTTATAGAGTACCATATCAATTAACACTCTAAATTTGTATGTTGCTTTATAAAATTAGTATGTTAAAACATGTTTCCTTTTTGCTATCAATTCGATATCAAATATAAGCTATGTACCGCATATTTTAATAATCAAAATGCGTGGATAGTTCAACAGAAGCTTAAACAAACAATTTAATTTTCTCCAGAATTTCAACAAAAAAAAGGATAGGGAATACTTTGTGCTGTGCAGATTAATGCAAACAAGCAATGTGCATAAAGCACAAGGGAAAGCACAGAAAACTTACTTTCTGTCCATCAATTAGAATTGGGAATTAGTACTAATTTTTTTTTTCTCTTTGCAGTGTAATCCTGGTTTGGGTGCCACCGTTATGTATGACCTTTTGTATAATCCTCCCCAAAAACTTATTCTGCTTGGTGGATGTTCTATTGTGTCTTCGACTATTGCAGAAGCTGCAAAAATGTGGAATCTAGTTGTTGTGAGTATCTTTAGTTGTTCGCAATATGTTTACAATCGAAATGCGTTTGTTTGTTCATAGAAATAATCTATAGTTTGTCTAAGCTAAGAACTCTTCCCGCCACAAATCCTAAGGTCGTCTGGTGCTATGGAACAAGAATGGCGCATTTTAGGGAGGGTAGCTTCACTCTAGGACTAACACAATAGACCGGAGAAAGATCTTCCATTTCTGTCGCCGACTCAAGCCTAAACTACAACAAAACAGTGACCCTGCACCACCGCTTGAAATAGTCATATCTCGTTACCATAGTTGCCGCCACAGGTCCAGATGAATGTCTGGAGGAGTTCTTGTTTTAGGCAAACTAATATCTGTTACTCGTACATTTAAAAATACGCGAGGATTAGACGAAATCTTAGAAATCTTAATATACGTTACATGCTTGGTGCGATTTTGAAAAATGACCCCGACTCTGGCGTTAATGCTTGTCGCCGAACTGTTGTAAATGTCGAAATGTTTTACGAGTGTTACGATTTAAAAATGACGCCGACTCTGGCGTTAATGCTTGTCGCCGTAAATGTCGAAATGTTTTACGATTTAAAAATGACGCCGATTCTGGCGTTAATGCTTGTCGCCGAACTGTTGTAAATGTCGAAATGCTTTACGATTGTTACGATTTAAAAATGACGCCGACTCTGGCGTTAATGCTTGTCGCCGAACTGTTGTAAATGTCGAAATGTTTTACGATTGTCGCAAGCAAAAACATAGATAATCGTAACCTGAAGATGACAAACACACAAACATATCATGAAAAAGAATTATATTAAAAGAAGAAAGTTGTGATCGCCTTGTTACAATCACTGGTTACTCATTGGTCAAATGCTTTTTCTTTCTGGATTGACTCCGTTGAACGCCACAACATTTCAAATCATGGTTTGCAAAAACTGTCTCAACTGATGTTTGTCGTCTAATTGGCTTTCAAATGTACGCCTATGTACGTGTTTCAAGACGTCACAAAATAATTTTCCTTCTTCAGCATTCATATTTATATTGAAATCACCGTCAAGCCAGTAATTATACGTTAATAATAAAAAGAATGTAAAAATACTTTAAATTATTATTATGAAATAAAATACATTAAAAATGCCTGCTAGTGAAAATAAAGAGAAAAACAGAAGCGGTCTCCTTAGCAACGCATACAATGCCGACGCATGCGCACTGTTTACTATTACTCTTGAACACAGTTGAAAAGTGTGTGAACGCCATCAAATCCAAACCAAGACCCTTTTTGCCAATGGGTAATAAAAGAAAAGCAAGTAACCCACCGAATCTCGCCAAACCTACAAATATAGATTGCAAACTTTATCGCTCACACAATAATTTATGCTTATTAATGATTTGCATAATTTATGAAGACAGAATAAAAATTCAAACCAGAATTATATTCTTGCATTTCTATGGATTTATTCATTCATTCATTTTATTTTAACAATTTTTTCAAATAAATACATTTCGAAATATTAAAGATCTCATAAAAGAAAAAAAAACTGAATTTAATTTTATTGACTTGTGCCCTATTTGTAGTCCTATTGTCTGACTTGTGCCCTATTTGTAGTCTTATTTTCTGACTTGTGCCTTATTTGTAGTTGTAGTTCTATTGTCTGACATGTGCCCTATTTGTAGTCCTATTGTCTGACTTGTGCCCTATTTGTATTTGTAGTCCTATTGTCTGACTTGTACCTTATTCGTATTTACTGATTTGTGCCCTATTTCTAGGTATCCTATGGATCGAGTTCACCTGCATTGTCCAACAGGAAAAGGTTCCCAACATTTTTTCGAACACATCCATCGGCTACTATCCACAATCCAACGAGAATCAAACTCTTCCAGAAGTTCAAGTGGTCAAGAATCGCCATTGTCCAAGAAGCCGAAGAAGTTTTTATATCAGTAAATAAATCTAATAATTATTTTTTTCTTGCCGAGTTCCAAAATGTATTTTTGCTTGTAATTAGAGAGTCAGAAAAAAATATAGAAAAAGGACACCATAGTGAAAGGGTTAATTTTTAACGGAATTATAACATCAATAATAACAATGCATCGTTCTTGCAGACAGGAGAAGATTTAGAGATTCGATGTAAAGAAGCTGGAATTGAAGTAGCCACACGACAAAGTTTCATTACAGATCCTACCGATGCTGTCAGGAATTTAGTGGTAAGACAAGACAAAAATTTGTCTTCTATTTTAGTATTTGTTGCTCGTCATAACTATATGGCTTACTGTTTTAAATTGTTTATCTATGTAGAGACAAGATGCCAGAATCATAGTTGGAATGTTTTATGGAGCCGCTGCGAGAAAAGTTATATGTGAGGTAAATATGGCTCTCGTAATATCACAGACATATTTCCCTGTTAGAGATCTAAGGAAATATTTTTAAGGGAAAAAACTGACCCCACTTAGAAATTTTTTCCCCTAAAAAAGGAAGAATAAACAGTATATAAAATTTTAGAGTGTTGTCTTTAGTTTGTTGTTTAGAGTTTATTGAAAGTGTTCGAAAAGTGTACCAAAAGTATACAACGTATATCGATATATATGTTGTAGGCTAATTCGATAATCCAGTTCTTTGCAAACAGCCGCTGTTATTTTGCGATTCACTGAGCAGATTGGAAAATTTTCCAGTATTTTCTTAGGCTCTTTAACTTTGTTTTAAGGCTCATTGGCTTTAGTGAGTCAGATCTTAAAGTGTATAACCTCAAAAGGATATTACTTTAAAAGAATAGTTTTTTAAAGGCTTATCCCACAGACCCTTTACGTTAATTAGAAGATCTATCATTTATTTTTTAATTAGCTTTATTTATTTTAGACAGTTTGTTATGAACTTAGAGTAATGAAGGCTTATTATTATAAATAACCTCATTAAAGGTATATACCGATAAGTCTGAGCAAATTCAGTCTGATTGAACGATTTTTCACATATTTCTTTAGAGTAAAGGCATATAGGCTGATTGTAAAAAGCAAACAAATTGTTAAGCTGATTATAAAATATTGCGGACTTTCCTAATTAGTTTGGGGCATAACAAAGAGCAGGATTTTTCAAATAGACCATGAAATGTACACTGAGTGATTATAAAATTACTTTGAATACCGTTTTAAAGAACAGAATAAAATTTTGCATAAAGGTATGTTTTATAATAGAGGTAAAATGCTTATCCAGCTTTCACGGTTACTGTTACAGTGACAAAATTTTGAATTTTTCAAAAAGCAACACCTACTGTGTTCTCATCGAAACGTAGATCTTCACATTAAAAAAAACCAACTTAAAAATGGCTTTGGAATGCTAGTTTTAAATTAAAAAACGACGACTCTAGGCAAAGATGACGAAAAGTGTATTTTATAAATTTTCCACTGAACACGTTCTGACCACATCGGGAATGTATCCAGCTCTCGTCATCCAAGTCTAGCGTTTAAATTGTTCTAAAGATATCGTTCCGATCTACTTTATATATATATATTTTTTTTACTGTGAGTATGACGCTTCAACGAGAAAAAGTGTTTCCATTTGAAAATTTCAAAATTCTTTCTCTGTAACCTGAACTATAAAAGCTGGATTATCTCTTTTAACACTGTTCATAAGTAGACCCTTACACTTACAGTCGGACATCTATTTAACTAACTTCCAGTTTGCGAATTTCTCTATTTTGCGATTTTTTTCGAGGAACCAAGAGCTTTTTGGAAATTTCATCGTAAAATAACTTCCAAATTTCGAAATGAATTTTCTGCTTTACGAACTTTTCTTTGAGATCCACTTTTCCTGTTCCCCAAAATAATTCAAAAAAATTTTAAGCTTGTTAACTCATTTTATGGAGGAAATGTTTTTTTCATGGCCACTTAACTTTTAGAGAAGGCAGTAAAATCCCTTTCCCTCTTTAATTGCATTTCAAACGATAAACTCAGACAAAATTAACAGATTTTGTCAGTGGTAATTAAACTTAAGAACGCATGTGATAATGTATGTTTAAAATTACTTTTATAATAAAAGCAGCTATAATTTTAAACATAAATTTAGCTTTTTTTAGTTGAAAATGTATATAGCATGTACTGAATAATGTTTTGCTCTATTCTTGCTTCCCATGCAGATTTTTTTTATGATTAAGATTTTTAAAATGAATAGTAGATACTAGTTTACAAGATAAAGGAGTAGCAATTGCTATTTTAATTATCTCTAGTGTTTACGAATTTTAAACCTGTTTTGTGTTGTTTAAGTATTTCGAAAGGTGATTTTCAATTTAACGAATTTTCCATATATTATTATCGGGATTTAGCGACTTCGTTAAATAGAGGTCTGACAGTAACTTATTTTCTTTATTCCGTTCTCTCGCTGAGTGAGAGGTCATATGTTAGTAAAATTATTTTATAATCAGTCTGCAAATTAAATAGTAATGTGAAAGTAAAACCGCCAAAATTGTGGTTCGCAGCTAATAACTTTGATTAAAGTTTTTTCCTTGAAATATTGTTTTTGACTTCTTCGTATCTTTACAGGCTTACAAGCAGAACGTGTACGGTAAACAATATGTATGGTTCCTCATTGGTTGGTATGAAGATGATTGGTACGCTGTCACTGATAAAGCTCACAATTGTACTGTACAACAGATGAAGGAGGCAGTTGAAGGACATCTAACAACTGAAGCACTCATGCTCAATCAGGGCTCAGAACCAACCAGATCAGGCATGGTAAACAAACATTACTTTATTGAAATATCACAACTCTTTCGTACAAAATATTATTTAAGTGCAACTCTTGTCATATATTTTTAGAACTCGTAACAGTTTAATTAAGTTTATATATGCAATAAAGCGAAAAAAGATAAAAACAAGTATATAGAACTCATAAAATAAGTTAAAAATATAGAGAAAACACGTGAAAATTTATAATAAAGATTAATGAAAAGGGGAGGAAAAAAATTATTACAAAAAAATACTTTTAAAAAAGTTTTATTTAAAAGACGGAAAACAAAATTATGAAACGATCTTGTCATCGACTCACACGATTATATCTACAAAAAGGATTGCTTTCGAAAATATAGTGAGAGGAGCACCCAAAAATTTTAAACAAAGAAAATAGAACATATTAAGTAAAAAATGTACAAAATAAAACATATTAAGCAAAAAATAGAAAATAAAATTCAAGAATTTTTTGCAACTAACTATATCTATATAAGCATTTACCTCTAGAAATGAGGCTTTGCAATTTTTGAGAACAAGCTTAAAATCTTTTAAGACCCTTATGTCTTGAAATACTAGGGATAAAATGACCGAATATATGGTTACAATACAGAAACTGCCGACAACTATTTTCAGCTGAGACTACCGGAACTAGACGGAGAGATAGACCTCGCCTTGGATAAATCGACTTCCTCGAAAAATACATGGAGATTCACATAAACAATATCATGTTTCATCGATCTAAACCCCGACATAGCAACGAGTTAACATGTCTTATATACTAGTGAGTTGAAATTGTATTTTTGTAGTGGTAGACACACTACAATATTCCCCTACCTGAATTACAACTGTGATAGAATTCGATGAATGGATACCGCTAGTTTATTCATTGCTGTCTTATGAGAAGCCGGGGGAGCTGTATTAAGATCACCGTACTTTTGAGTGTTGATCGCGAGAGCTGTATTAAGTTCACGGTCGTGGTCGCTCCTGTGTTGCGATTAGCATTCGAGTGTATACGTAGTGTGTTGTATGTGATTGAGACTGTTAAGCAACAGCGCGAGGTGAACATTGTCACAAGTTGCAAGTCAGCTGTTTATTGGGAACCATCCATCGAAGTAGGCGTGTTCAAATTGAGGTGGGAGTTTCTGTCAAGGTAGGCGTGTTCATATCACGTCCGGGTCACCAATGTGGGGAGAGTCTCACCGACAATGCCAACCTTCATCTATCTAAAGGTACCCCGACATAGAATCGAGGTAACGTGTTAGATACTAGTGAATTGGAATTGTATTTTTGTAGTGGTAGAAACACTGCAATACTTCAAAGTAAAATATAAGAGGTGCTTAATTTTTAAAATTTAGTTTTTAATTTCGCGAGTGTCTTTTTCTGTATTTCGATTTTATGTTTGTAAATTGTTTTTTTTTCTTCATATTTTTATTTTCTTTTGTGACGTTTTCAAATTTATATTTTCATTTTAATAAGTGCCTTATTTTTATATTTCAGACATCGGCTGAGTTTCTGGAACGATACGAAGAAGAACTAAAGAAATTCGGATACATTGAGAGGCGTCCAGTGGGCTATCAAGAGGCACCCCTTGCATATGATGCTGTGTGGGCGATTGCCTTGGCACTGGACAAAACTATCAGAGAGTTGGAAGGCACCAATAGATCTATCGAAGATTTCACATACGACAACCAATACATAGCTCATCAAATCTATTCTGCTATGAACAGTACGCAGTTCCTTGGTGTATCGGTAAGTTTTTAAAACAAATATCGGTACGTCATAAAATAGTTGAATTATGTATACAGTGGTGGCCAAAAGTGTGGACATTTTTTGAAAGTTTCATATTTTTCAACTTTATGTGCTTGTAGAATGTATTAATTTTCCCTTAAATACAAACATTTATATATCAAATTGAAAGTAATTTAATGTAGAATTTAATAATAAATACAGTATTACAATATCTGTATTACAAAACCAGTTATGCAACTAATAGTAAGATCTATCTTAGATTTGCATTTTCTTAAAGTGATACTTACACAATCAATACTTAGTAGGATAACCTTATTTTTTAAGACAGCTTCACAGCGTCTTTTCATCGAGTGAACGAGTGTTTGGAGTTCATCTTTCGTAATCACATGGTGCCAAAAATCAATTATAGCTTCAATAAGTTGCCTTTTATTGGATGGACATTTTTTTCGTACAAGAATTTTCAAGTGTCGCCACGAATTTTCAATTGGATTGAGATCAGAGCTGTTTCCTGGCCAAAGTAATATATCTATGCCTTTATTTTGAAACCATGCTTTGCATACTTTTGCTGTGTGGCATGGAGCTGAATCCTGCTGAAAAATAAATGGTGAGCTGTTGGGGAAGAGATCCCTGATGGAAGGTATCAATTTTGGTTTCAGGACAGTTTCGATGTAATTTCTGGCATTCAGGATGCCATCAATCACTTGAATTTGGCCCACACCATCTGCTGACATACATGCCCAAATCATGACATTTGTTTTGTTTTTTGTAGTTGCTTCAACGCAATCAGGATGAAGTGCTTCACCTACTCTACGTCTCACGTATTTTCTACCATCACTACCAAAGAGCGATATTTTACTCTCATCGCTCCAGATTACTTGCTTCCATTGATTTTCTGACCATTTAATGTGTTCTTTTACCCACTTAACTCGTTTTTCGCGTTGCTTTTGATTTAAATATGGTTTCTCTTTTGAATTCTAGCTTGTAGTCCAAATCCTGAAAACCTTCTTCTTATTGTTCTTGAACTTACTGCAATACCTGCTGTATTCATTTCACATCTAATGGCATCTGATGAAATTTTTCTATCTTGAAGGCATAGCCGTTTCATTTTTCTATCGGCAGTAGCAGTTGTTAATTTTTTTCAGCCTGATTTGGCTTTATTTCCCACTGATTTCGTTTTTTTCATAACGTAAACAGAACTTTCGTACACCAGAACAAGTCACTGAAGCACCAACTTGTCTTGCAATTTCAGCATAAGAGAGGCCATTTTCTCTCAATATGACAATTCGGCTTCTTTTTGTAAATGTCCCATTAGTTCTTCTTGTTGATGACATTGTTTAAAATTAGTTTAATTAAAAAAAGGACTTTAAATATTCAAAAACAGCAATACTCTATTTAATTGTACTATTATGCATCATTCCGCAAACTATTTCCACAACAGTAACTCTTTTACCATCCAAATAACCTAAACTATATTTACAGACATTTGAATGGTCCTAAGAACAGTGTTTGTGATTGGCTAGTACGCTTTTATTACAAAACACGTCCTTATTCAAAACGATTTGCGTTTGTTTGTTCTACTAAAATGAGCAAAACTTTTTTTTTGTAATACAGATATTTTAATTCTGTTTTTGTTATTAAATTCTACATTAAATTACCTTCAATTTGATATTTAAACGTTTGTATTTAACTGAAAGTTAATATATCTTCCAAGCACGCAAAGTTCAAAAACATGAAACTTTCAAACAATGTCCACACTTTTGGCCACCACTGTATATTTTTTCAAGCTATAGCCTAATTATGAAACTTTCTTAGTTTTTATTTATTTCTTTTAAATTTTAGATATTGAATTGCAAATGAATTTTATATCGTAACAAGTGTATTCCAAAAAAAAAATAAAAAAAATTGAATTCTTATTAAGAGTTGTTAAAACGTTGTATGTTGCGACAAATGTTGCGACAAACTTCTAAGGGAGTTAGGTAAAATTGCTTTGGAACCTATGCCTACAATTGTCATCATAATCTGGAAGGAGCCCTTTTCTATTATGAACTATTTCTTCGCGTGCTTCTGAATCTGGCCACAATAAGAAAGCGCCCCAAGCAGCGTACGACGGCATGAGTTCTTATGCTATTTTAATATTGATGATGCGACCCTAGAAGTATTATCAAAACACTTACCCCTATTATATATTACCCCTTATATTTTAACTTGTACATTTCAACAAAACATAAACTAAAATTTTATAGAACTCTAACGCTTTAGGAGCAGAATTAATTTCAGATTTGAAGTCCCTACACCCAAATTAAGCAAAATTAAGTATTTGTATAAATGTTGTATAAAATTTTTTTTCCCCAGTGTTATCATTTAGTACTGTCAGCCAGTAAGACCTAAGTTTTTTTAAAGACTTTTTGCTGTAGTATAGTTAATTCACTAGCGGTTTAGTAAATGGGCAAAATTGGGAGAATGTTTCTCCCCATTTCACTATTTCCCTATCTAAAAATGGTTTAGCTATGTGGAGAAGACTACAGGTTGAAATACGACTTTTTACGCGCAGTGAGTTGAATAAGTTAATAAAACTAAAATAAAATTCCCCCTGAAAGATCTCCATTTTTTTCAAATATCCGTCGGAATTTCCTGCCTCTGAGCTTTTCAATTATAATAAAATAAACAATTGTAATTGGATTGCTTTTTTAAAAAAATGTTCGATTTCAGGGACAAGTTGCCTTTTCTTCGAAAGGAGACCGAATCGCCTGGACTCAAGTGGAGCAGATGATAGGTAATTCCTGACATGAAAATTCTTATAACTGTTATAGACGAAGTGGTATTAGTTATCAATCCGAAAACTATCAGCGCAAAAGAAAATGGATCTTAAGTTTTTCCATTTTAATATAATTAAGAATTGAATCGTTTACCGACTACGATCCGATTCGCAATTTAAAAGAAAATCAAAACTAATTTTAATCTAAAAAAAATCCAATCTAATCTAAAATAACCAAAAAAAAATTGAATTACAAGGTGACATAAAAAATTTTGTATCACAGTAAACTACGTAAATTCAACAGGTGAAATCGAAATTTTAAAACAATTTCGTCAAACTCCTTGTAACGAGGAGAGAAGTCTGCTGTTACGATTGATTAAGTAAGTACTAAGCAAAAAAGGACCCAATGGAAGGCATTTTTATTTATTTCTGGTATTTATACTGAAAAAAATAAAATCGTACATCATTTCCCCTAATTTCCTTCTTACAATCGTAGGCGCTTATGTTTATACAGCAAACATGTGAAAGGCAACCAGCCAAATTTATTTTCCTTCTGACAAAAAAATGTCTTTTCTATTTTTAAAAATCTGGCACCTTGGTTCAAAAGAAAACGATTTTTTGTTAGCAACATTTATTACATGGGAAATTTTGAAATTCGAATCAAATTGATTGATTTTAAGTTTGGATGTGAAGTTAGCCATAAACATACCTTGCCAAAGTAAAAAATTACTAAATTGATTTCTAAAAGCTTTGCTTTCTCCTTCTTTTAAAAATGAACATTTTAATATTTTCTTTTTTAATTTCGATTTAATTACTTTTTTATGTAGGTGAAGTTAAATTTTACAAACTGAAAAAAAAAACTTGCAGCATTCCAGTTTTTATTTCATTGAACCTAAATGTGCATCTAAGCTGCATGTCAATGTGTAGATAATAAAATTATGTGTGATTATAATATAATATGTGTGATGGTAATAAAATAGATGTGTGATTAGAAAATTACTTTGGAAACAAATGTCCTTCCTAGCAAGCATACTATGCGAGAGAACAGAATAAACTTCCTATAAATGTCTTATAAGATAAAAATCGAAAATATTTATGGAAACAATTACACAGCCCTCACAGTTGCGGTTACAGATACAATAAAGAAACGTGACCCTTAACAGTAAAAAAAAACAACTTAAAAACGGGACATGGTCGATACTTTTAGATCGAAGAACTACGGTGCTAGGCAGAGATGAAAAAAAACGTATTTTATAAATTTTTTCCTCGCTCTAACAGAAACTAGGTAAAAAAGAAAACAATATGCTACTTCTTGCTCTCTTCATATCCGTCTAGCGTTACCGCTATTCATTTTTTAAAAAAATACAATTCCAATTCCTTTTTCAGTTTTTTACATTGAGGATCCTGTCTCTATGAAAGAAGCATATGATACCTACGGAAACTCAGTCATGATCATTATAACAGTTTTTAGTACATAATTTTCGCCTATAGTGATCCTACTATACCAGTGAATTCCAACTGGCGGCCCGGGGGCCGCATCCGGCACGCGATGCCTTTTTTTTGTGGCCCTCGAACTAAAATATATTAGTTGTCATTTTTTTCGAACAATTTTCGTAAAAAATCTATATGGGTTTAAAATACTTTTCTCACTAATAAAAACCTAATTTCTTCGTTTCTGTGAAATTTAACATACCAATGGTGCAAAAATATTATTTCTCAGTTTTTGCATTCAAGAATATATTCATTCAAATACAAAAATAATTGTGTATGTTGCTCTCTTTCATTTCATTTTTTTTTAATATTTTGTGAATATAATTTAGCATGTGTGTATCAGAAATGTTCTCGAAGAAATTCTCCGATTTAACTTTTTGAAACCACTCATTTTGGACGAAAATATTAACGCACACATTTGTGAATTTTAAATGTAAATATCTATTCTCTGATGGTTGTCGCAGACAAACCTCAATTTTCTCTTGCAAAAATT